CAGGTCGATCTTATAAAGCACGACCAGTCAAATTCCCTCAGCTTCGCCATTGAACTTTACTCTATGGATACTCGACTTCGACATTAATTTGAACAATTTTATTCGTTGCACCGTGCTAAACAGGGTTCGAAATAACGTTCTGATTATATGTCAAATTTTTAGGCTGTTTTTTTAGGTGAAATTTTTTCCGGCTGTTTTCCAGGCAAAGTTTAGTTATGTTCTGGAGTGGGCATGGGCCAAATAATAGTGATGTAAACCAACACAACAATTATTTGTAAGAACACAGCAATACATTTTATTTTGGGGTAGGAACAAACATTAACAAGTTCTATGTGAATCGGTTCAAAACAATAAGAAATATTAAAAAGCGAAATATTATCTGGCTATAATATATTTCGCCGCGATAGAATTGACTGTGTTGGAGGTGGCATCTTAGTTGCAATAAAGGCTGATATTAAATCAACTCGACATTTAGATCTTGCAAGGAAAAGTGTTGAACTTGTTGTAGTTGAACTTAGTAGACCGGACAGACGGTCATTTTTACTTTACACGTTTTACCGTCCTCCTGATTCTTTGCCTGAAGTTCTTCAGCACCTTAACTCATCGTTGCAAAGTATTCAAGAATCTGACTGTTGTGTTGTTGTTGGTGATTTCAATTTGCCCATGCTGGACTGGTCGAATGATCAAGCTGCGCCTGTTAATATCGGGGGAAACGCAAGTGGTAATGTGCTATGTGAATTGGTTGGAGACAATTTTTTACATCAATTCATAGAAGGCAAGACACACGAAGCAGGTAATAAACTAGATTTACTGCTATGTAATTGTCCTGAGACTATTGAGAAAGTAACCACAACACCAGCTGACGAATGCGGTTTTCCATCAGATCATTATATCATAGATTTTATAATCAGACTTAAGTTTGAACGCACTAAGCCTATTAAACGCCAAGTCTTCAATTATTACCAGGCAGATTTCGAAAGCTTGCGCCACTCCTTGTCCCGCATCCCGTTTGAAAATATTTCCTCCTATGATAACATTGATGATCGTTGGTCTTGCTGGAAAACATTATTTATAACTGCAGTGAGTGAACATGTTCCTACCAAATTTATCAAAGATATTAACACTCCGCCTTGGATAGATCAGGAAGTCCGCAATCTAATTAGAAAGAAATACTCGGCCTTAAAAAGATACAGAAAAAATAAATCTGATGCCCTCAAAAAAAAACTTCGGGATATTAGTCAAGCTGTTAAATGTCAAATTAAGAGAAATATCGTGAATACCTAACCAAGATCGAGAAATCCTTAAATTCTAATCCCAAAACTTTCTGGAGTTATCATAAGGCTATGTTACATCAAAGAACAAACCATATTTCTGCGATCATTTACAACGGTGTTACAGCAACTAATCCAATTGAAAAAGCAGAACTACTCAATGCTTATTTTACCTCTGTGTTTGCCAAACCAACTGCGAACACGGATTATGTGAATTTTCTGAATTATCAGGAGTTTTGCTCAGAACTTGCTGAATTCCAATTGACTACGGACGAGGTCCTTGCTTATCTGAATTCTTTGGATACATCTAAAGCATGTGGCTCTGATGGGATACCAGCGCGTTTACTTAAAGAGTGCAGTTTCCAGATAGCACCCAATTTGTGTGGTTTGTTTAACTATTCGTTACATATAGGACGTCTTCCGTCAGAGTGGAAAGCAGCTGACATCACTCCGATACATAAAAAAGAATTAAGAGAACCAGTTGAAAATTATAGACCCATATCTCTTCTTCCAATTATAGCCAAAGTCTTGGAACGTTGTGTGAGTAAAAGGCTATATGATCACGTAATAAATGCTATTTCTCCACAACAACATGGTTTTGTAAGGAATCGTTCGTGCGTAACTCAACTCTTACAAGTGCTTCATTTAATCGGACAAAACCTAGACAAAAATATCCAAACAGACATACTATATTTAGACTTCACCAAAGTCTTCGACTCCGTCGACCATAATTTGATAATAGAAAAGCTTAAGTTTTGTGATTTAAAGGAAGTTACGAAGCCCAGTTTTGATTTACTATGAGCTCGCGAGTCTTTCTTCGGAATGTAATCGGTCCCTTGCTATAGTGCCTGTGAGCTCACGAGTGGAAGGAATACTTATACTATCGCTAATTTTACATGCTTTTTTACTTCTTATAGAGTATATTGATCTCGCGTGTCTTCTCCGGATGTAATCGGTCCCTTGGTAATATATTTCTACTGAGTAAAATCGTATATTAATCGTAAGTGAAAAAAACACTTAAAAATACGTATTTATATATATATATATATATATATATATATATATATATATATATATATATATATATATATATATATATTGTTGTTTTTATAGCTTAATAGAACCAAACTTAAACTTTTTGTAGGGGAGTTAAATAAATACGTCGTAAACGACTAAAAATCCGTCACCGTTTACAAAATCTGGTGCTCAGTTCATTTTGGATTCTTCTTACTTGACCCACCATAGAACACTAGAGTACTATAGTTTAGTTGGAATCGCCAGTCACGGTAACTCAGAGTCACTGCTTCTCATTCCGCCCAGCAGAGAGTCTTCACGACCACTGTCTTCGGAGCTGTCCGACAATTCCCACTGAGCAGAAGTAACTAGTGGGATTTCTTGACCGGTTCTGTGGCAACTTCCTCGATAAATCAGCTTTCATCTCCTCTTCATTTTCCTCACTCCCCGATTCATTTTCGCCCATAGCTCCAACGTCTTTCAACCAATTTCTAAGGAATTCTTCCCTCTTGTCCTTTTTTATGCGTTTCCTCTTGCAGTATATTGCTGTCGGTTCCCTTTGGTCTCTTCCGTGATTTATCACTATTTCAGAGGTCCACAGCAAGCTCACAAAAACGCTCACGGAAAACGTGCAGGGTTGGACCTGTCACTTTATTGCGCATTAAATCAGTCAAGTTGCGTTCGTTCAACCAGTTGCGGCAGCCAGATTTGACTACGCTCAAGTACGAGATAAACGACTCGCAGACTGCATGCATTGCCGTACGGGCAGTAGAGACACAGCTCGACCAGTGCCCACAGTTCCCGTGCTTCCTCCATTTTTATCTTCCAGAGCATTGGCCACAGATCCATGGAGTCGATAACAGCTTCGTTATAGTATGCGGTTGCCGATCCCTATGCTCTGAAATTAAAAATCGCCGGCAAGGTCCTAAAACTGCCGGCGATAGCCGGCAGCCAGCGGCTATTTTAAATTCTGCTGAAGGTGAAAAATAAAATCAGTAAACGGACGTATCTTA